TGGGGAGATAATTATTGCAATATTGGTGCTAGAGTTATGAACCTTGTCACATAAGATGTGGATGATGATAAGGTAAATATATTTGAAGTATGAAGTTGATCCCTTTAGAAATAAATAAGTAACAGTAAAAAATAATATTTTTTATGGAAAATTCTAAGTTCAAAGGGAGATAAATCTGAAAATATTGGTGCTAGAGTTATGAACCTTGTCACATAAGATGGGGATGATGATAACGTAAATATATTTGAAGTATGAGGTTGATCCCTTAAGAAATTAAGAAGAAACAGTAAGAAATAGTATTTTTTGAGGAAAATTCTAAGTTCAAGGGGAGATAAATCTGAAAATATTGGTGCTAGAGTTATGAACCTTGTCACATAAGATGGGGATGATGATAAGGTACATATATTTGAAGTATGAGGTTGATCCCTTAAGAAATAAAGAAGTAACAGTAAAAAATTGTATTTTTTAAGGAAAATTCTAAGTTCAAGGGGAGATAAATCTGAAAATATTGGTGCTAGAGTTATGAACCTTGTCACATAAGATGTGGTTGATGATAAGGAACATATATTTGAAGTTTGAAGTTGATACCTTAAGAAATGACAAAGTTATAGTGAAAAATATTTTACTGCACCAAAACTTTAATCTAAAATCTGGACGCGGACGCCGACGCCGGGGCGAGTAGGACAGCTCTCCATATACTTCGTATAGTCGAGCTAAAAATCTATCATGTTCAGCTTTGACCTCTAAGTGTGACCTTGACCTTGGAGGTATGGACACAGGTGTTACGCATGACATATCATCTTACCATTGTGACTATTTGTGCCAAGTATATTCAAAATCCCTTGATCTATGAAGAAGTCATGTACGGGAAACAAAATATACCATATAACAGGCTCTGTTTAACCTTTGACCTCTAAGTGTGACCTTGACCTTGGAGGTAGGGGTGCAGATGTTGTACTTGACTTATCCTCTTATTATTGTGACAATTTGTGCCAAGTGATTTCAAAATCCCGAAAAAGTTCTAGATTGGACACAAAATATACCCTAAAACAGACTATGTTAATTTTTGACCTCCAAGTGTGACCTTGAACTTGGAGGTAGAGATGCAAGTGTTGCGCATGACACATTGTCTTACTATAGTGACTATTTGTCGCAAGTATTTACAAAATCCTTTGATCTATCAAAAAGTTATGGACCGGACACAAAATATACTCTGTAACAGACTATGTTAATCTTTGACCTCCAAGTGTGACCTTGACATTGGAGGTAGGTGACCGGTTTTGCGCATGACACATCCTCTCATTATTGTGAACTATTGTGGCAAGTATTTACAAAATTCTTTCAAAGATAAGAAAGTAATGGACCGGACACGACATAAACCCTAAAATACACAATGTTGACCTTGAATGAGCAAGTGCGACCTTGCCCCTGGGGATAGGGGTCTGGTTGTTGCGCATGACACATTGTCTTATTATATCAAACATTTGTGCCAAGTTATTTCAGTTCCTTTGACAAATGACAAAGTTATGGATCGGACACGAAAGTGTGACAGACGGACGGAGCCTATTTCTATATCCCCCTTTTTTCTTCGAAAAGGCGGGGGACAAAGAAAAATGGGGGGGGGGGGTGAGAAATTCTTACATAATTGCATGCGATCGTACAGAAATATACTCACAATCAATATTGAAAATCAATATTTTGTGAACGTTTATTTTTTTTTTTGAGAAATCTTGCACAATGAAAATGATTTGGGGAAAAAAGAAGAGAGCAAATGATCTCCAATTTGCACACAAGTTATTGGTCCCGACCTTCAACAAATTGTACACAAATCTCGAAAAATATTTCCAGTCCCGTCATGTCTAAAAACCTCAGCGGGGAAACCTTTAACCAATGGTAGGATACTTCGTCATCGCGCACCTGCAAGATGCTCCAGTCGGACTTAAGTCAATCTTTGGTGCACTACATTAATGATTTTATTTTTTTTATTCTTACTTTTTCTTAGAATGAAAAAAAAACATAAATAGAGTCGACCAAAAAAAACAGTCCGATTCGGAGCATTTTACAGGTGCACGATGACATATCATTGAAAGATTTTTCTTTTTCTTTGCAAAAAAAGTAGTCCGAGCAGTGTAAGCAGATTAGACTAGAAAAAGAAACAATGTTTTGAGATTTATTTCACCAAATGCCTCCGACATCAAAAAAATCCATCCAAATGCATATAAAATGAAACGGCTTTAACAGGGTTTGCAGTTCGATAATATGATCCTTAGAAAGAAGCATACACTCTATTTCATCAAATAGGAAGAAATGAAATCCGGACCAATCTTCCAGGGATTTTTTTAACAAGGAAGATTTTAATCGCTTTTTGTTACAGAACAATCACAATACTGGCATAAGGTGTGGGGGAAAATCCACATCATGTGATTAAAAAAAACGTTTAATACATTAACACGAGATATTTCAACATAGAATATTTAGATAATTTTGATTTCGAGTAAGAGGAGAAGCTATACGAAAGTTGTTGATTTACCAATCAAAGACACTTTCGATTGTACTGTAAAAGTTGTAAGGCTGATATTTTTGATTATTATGATAAGACCTAGCGAGGTGGGTGGGGTGGCTTTTTTCGGCCCCTGTTATATAATGAAAAAGACTAGTCGTCACAGGTCATTTCCAACAACCTCCGTATTACATGTATATAACTGTTGTCTGGTTATTAGATACAGACTGAGGAGTGTGGTCACTGTTAAAGTTCTGAAGTGTATTCTAAATGCAATCACGTACATTGCTTGCATTAAAAACTACGACATTTTTTGTCATTCATGTGCAAGGTGCAATAGAAGAATCTACATCATATCCTATTGTTCTTAAACTTCTAAAACAAAAGATTTAACATTTATTTTGGCCCAATAAAGTTCACCAATCTTTTACTTTACTTGCTGTCCTTTGCTGTAAAAATCTAATATTGTTGAGAGTTGTGTTGTTGTTTGTTGTTGTTGTTGTTGTGATGGTTTTGTTATTGTTGTTTTGTAAAAGAATATAAAATAAAAAAAATGGTTATTCACCATAAACTACATTACAGTACTTCTGATCCGACTTCACCCATCTTAAAGAATCGAGGTACAATATAATTATATACAGTATTCAAAACCGTTATTTTTTATCGGTATTTTATGTCAATCAATATTTTTGTTATCATTGATAGAAACGTTGAATTACTGGATTGTCAAGCTATATTAATTCTTTCTTATAAAAAAATAAGCATAAACCTCACTACAGCTTATTATATTAGCATCACATGCTTTTCTCTGTCAAGGTGAACTATCAAGGTGAACCGTCATCCACGCTAGTTTAATAGTTCAAATTGTAATTAATTTTCGAACTGGTTGGAGACATCAAAATCGGCCACCATGAAACCCGGACCCCCCTTAACGCTTTAGTTGTTCAACAACAATCACTTTTTTTCAAAAAGTTATTCTCCGTACATGATTGGTTAATCACCGTTGTATGTTTTTTTTAAACTGGTAATAAAATCTATACTTCATTTGCACACATTGTAGTTTCAAATGGGTACATGAAAGAATATATTCCAGTGCAATTAAAAAAATAAAAGAATTATATGTTAACATGAAAATATTATTGTAGTCTGTATCATCAAGACGTTTGAAAGAAAATCTCAAACGTCTGGATGATACATACGAGTGACCTACAGGCTACTAATCGACCTTCTCAGACTCCGGTCTCCGACGCTCACCGGTCTCCAAAGACTTTCTTCTATCGATCGATTATTTTCAACTGTATTCTCGATACAAACGTTTTTTTTTTTTTTTTTTTTTCCATACAATTTTGAGAACAGTAAAATGAAAAATCTCTAAATTATTAAAACTTTCACGCATGAAACCATTTTAACTTGTCTTTTAAAGTTTAATCTGTGTGTGTTAGATAACGATAATGTTTCTTTCATAATTTACTAGTGGAAGTGATGAGTCTTTTTAAAACAAGTGTGATTCGTCATAATCCACGAAATAAATACAGTTATACTTATTTTATATTACGTGCAATAATATCGGGATTCCATTCGTTCATTCTTAATGCAGTACGTACTGCTTAATTAGGATTACATAAATATAAGACACTGCTCACAACTTGAACGCTGATAAAAAAGAATATGAAAAAATAAATAATATAAAGTATAATATAGGGTCTACTGCTTTTTTAACCTTTAAACAAACACATACGCCTTTTCACATGTGCAATGCTTAAAATTACTTAATATTTTTCTTCACAGACCGTAATTAATAGGCTACATACATCGGTTATAACCTTAAACATTACTTTATAATAATGTAATAACTGATTGAGTGTAGTAAATTGGTTTGTTCATCTCATCTCAGTAAGCAAAACTTGGAAATAGATAGAAATGTGCCGCTCAGGAGAAAAGGAAAATATGAATATGCATATTTGAAACAGTTTTGTAATTTACTATATAGATATCATCTATATGTTTCCCCTGTGACAATGTAACATAATATAAATTTTGTTGTAATTTTAAAGGTTATCTGTATGTTTCAGCAAATATCAGCGTCAGAAATTGATTAAAATCCTACAAAATTCAAACGGCATTGATAACGGCCATATCACGGTACGTTTTATTAATGACCGGATTCCGCATAACAGCATTTAAATCACCCGCTAGTCGTCAGTCATTTGCATTGTCACATAAACCATTTCTTATTTAATACAAAATGTACACTAAAGAAGTTTATTAATTTAATCAGTTGTTAACAGTTTCCATGATACGACATTTCGGCAAATAATTTTATACAATCATTCGATCTCTTTTTACATATTTGACAACCGGAAGAACACGTGATTACGACGTCACATTATAGATGAAAAATATATGAACAAAAAGGCGAGATATCTTGATGTTCACTAGCTCTTTACTGACGTTAATTTCACAAAAGATAAATGAAACAAAAGGTAATGTGTTCTCTTACCCGTTAAACTGTATGACTCAAATAAACTACGGCAATAGTCGCTTTTCCTGTTTACTTTTGTCTATCTTGTAAACAACATGGCGGAATAATTATTGCTTCCCACAATGCACTGCGTGTATGTTAAGTGCCGGACACGGAGGAATAACACCTAATATACCTTTCTCTACACATAATGATTGCATTTTAAAATGAAATATATTTTATTACATGAATATAAATGGTAAATATCACTTTTGAACATTTATTTCATAAATAACATATGTTTCAAGATCTACTTCTTGACACATAGATAAGGCCAGTATATATTAATGCGCACTGCAAATATAGTTCTTTTTTAAGTTTATAACTAATCGTGCCAGTGTTTGCTGAGACACCAAATTTCTAAAACTTGATAAAAACTGGCTTTACTTTCTTTTTTAAATAAATACGTCAATGAAATATGGATCTATATCCTCAGGCATATAAAGTTTTGATCGGTGAAAGTCACATGATACACACGCCTTATGATCCGGTCCCGGATGAAAGTGTACGCCTACAGTTAGTTTATTTTCTATTGTCTTAGCTATTTTTAAACCGCTTAAAAGTTATTTGTAATGAATTTAGAAATTTTTATTTGTTTCTGAGTTGATAACTATCATAGATAAAGGAAATATATATTTTTGTTTTCAAAGTTTATAATCACTATGTGTATTAGTGTCCGTGTCGTAAACTTGATATCATTCATAATTGGAGCGGAAACCACAGCAGAGCGGTGTTGTAGTAAATATCGCTATTATGCACGTACGGAAGTTATGTAATTTCTAGCTGTACTTAATTATACCTGATTTCTTGTCATAACGATTGGAAGCATTTGTTTAAATATTTTTATTACGTTGGTTTGATCCCATGTTGATATTTTATGGCTACCCTTGTTTAAATGAATAATTTATAGAATAGTTTGGACATTATAGCTCTATAAAACGTGAACAATATGCATTTATTACTTATTAATGTATCACTTCTGGAAATAAAATGAAGTTAGAAAAAACCTTATATTCTTATTAATTATAGATTCTAGTGATCTGGTAGTTAAATATAAACTTACTTATTTACATGTACTTATATCGTCCCTTGTCTAATAGATTCTAGAGCATAAACAAGTGAATATAACACCTAAATTCAATATTTTAAACAAAATATGGATCTACATATTTGATGAAGGGGTTTACAAGAAAAAAAATCAGAGGGATGGTACTTTTTGTTATTAAAAGTCTTGTTCCGGTGAGTATGTAGCCTCTGTTTAAAAAATAAAATCAAGCAGACGACACATTAAGAAGAGATTTAAATTATTCTAAAATGAAACAGCAAGACAGTTTAAGGTAAAACGTAACTAAAAGTTTCATGGTGTGAAATCTGCCCAAGATTATTCTTGCTTTAGAGTTTTACGTCTCACTTTACAACGGCTCTACGGAAATTTAAGCTATTGTTTAATAATATTTTATTGCTTATATAAACATACTTCAAATATGTTAAAATTTTTAAATTCAAAATGGTTGGCCCAGCTGTTTTTGCAACATTATCAAGATCGATTCCTGGAAAAGCGAAAATATACCTGCAAATATTTGTATATTTATGAATATACATGTATGCCTTAACACTGTGCTTATCACGTGATATTGTGTGGTATGCGCGGAGGCCTACAACGCCAGTTCTGGTTTTATTTTCTTCCATTACAATCGTTAAAATTTCCTTATTTTTTTTTCGAGGTAAAGTATACAGCCCGCTTATTATTGTGAGAAATCCATAGGTGGGGGGGGGGGGGTCAATATTTCTTCATTAAAATGAACCGTTTGTTTGAAAAATCAGAAACTCACGAGGTTCCGCTCAAAATTTAAGACAAAAAAGCTGATATTTCCCCAAGAAACATTGGTCATTGGTGATGTCGAAGTTCCATGACTTATTTTCCCAGCATATATTTTTCAGTTTCAGCTCTTCCAGAATTTATAAGAGGTTGTTTCAAAAACACTTCCGTTGTGCATACACACTACCTGTACATCGCCATATTTATAATTTTTTCCAGCTGCTCAGCACATTTACTACTTGATTTTTTGATTATTTTGGACAGACTTTACAAAGGGTGTAGACAAGTACTTAAATCGACACAAAAATAATGTGCTTAAATTAAAACAACAACAACAACAAATGCCTGTTTGGTATCTGTATATATAACGCAACAGTGTAAACTCATCAAATGATTTTATTGATGATAAACCATCAAAAAATATATTGGTAATTACCATTTTTATTTTTAGAATACATGTACATATTTTTGAAACCAAAAATACTTTGACACAGATATTGTCGTTTAATTGATTATTTCCGGTTGATATATACATTCACTTCCCATCATCAATTTAATATCAAGATACCATATCCCACCGGAGCTTTTCCCACCATTATGCATGTCATGTGCGCCATTTTGTATAGGTTAGCGCTAAATTTTATGAGTGGTTAAAATTATATGGTTTGTTTATAATTTTTCAAATACTTCGGTAAATTTAATTTATTTAATCGGTACTAAATTGTCATTAAATACTACCCAGTTGAATCAGCGTATCACGTTAAATCGCACGTGTTAAGATTCAAAAAATAATTTCAACCACTAAGTAGGTTAGTCAGCATATTAATTTCATTTTCCATTTTCCAGATTTAATTGAATTTATGCAGACTTAACAAATACTAACGTAATATTATATGGTTAGCATCTGAGTATGATTTTTTGATGTTGTTGATTCTTTTCCCTATTTTTTCTTTTGTTGCTGCTGCTGTTGTCGTCCAAACCGATAAGCTTACATCGACCAACACACTATTTGACCTATTAGCGAGGTATGTTTACTACATCGTAATGAAATATAACCGTCGTACAGAAAATTTAATTTTATTTCAGAATATTTCCATAACATTGATAAATTATCACTTTTGCGTCCACCCAAATTAAATGCATCAATTAAAGAATTTAAAACATTTCGATTTCATTGGACAAAATATAATTCTAGCCACTAAAGCTTATTTAAGTTTATTATCCCTCACTTGTTTCGTAATGTTTACTTCCCATAGGCCTCTGTGAGTTATTCTTACTGTTAATGCAAGTGTACCACGTGACAAAGAATTTTGTACTGTTACATAGGTAATAGTACTTTTTAACAGTATAAAATCTGGTCACGTGGTCTATTTTCTAAATAAAATGGCCGCCATTTTTTCTCGATTCATTCTTATTTTCCACGATAGGACATCACCAAAGTAACTATGATACCCATAAAATTTAGTTGTTTTCACCCTGGAGTGCTTCTCGCGTATAGAATATCTTTTTGTTGAATAGTCAAAAAGTAAGCATCTGTTTTCAACGGAAGTAATTGCAATGTGAATAATTATGTGTCAAAGCATGTTAAAGCATGCAACAAAGGATTATTAAACAAATTTTAATCAGTGAAACGTTACAGATGGTGGACAGTCATAGGATATCATCGTTATTTTGTCAAAAAACATGCGAAGAATATTCTGGATACAAAAGGACCAGATTTCACAGATCATAACCGTATAAATGGGCTAGTGTTTTGTTTTCCAAATAAAACACAGCTTATTCTATGTTTATGACTAGTAGATATCATTACTTGCTTAAAGAATAAAAGGAAAAGAAAACTTCTCAAGTAGGCCTGAAGTACACTTAAAACTTAAAAGGTAAGGACAGTTAAGTTATTGTTACTCTTGGTTTATTTTTGTTACAGTTAGATTTAGTTGACAATTTCAGATCATCACAGTATTTTTGTTCGAGGTAATAAAATAGATAACACATGGGTTTGTGAGTAACAGTAAAAACATCATCCCTCGTAAAAATACTGTTGTTACCCTCGGCTACCATCGGGTAACAGTATTTTCCTCGGGATGATAGTTTTACTGTTACCCACAAACCCATGTGTTATTTATATAATATCAGTATGTTTTATAGGAATATCGATTTTTTAAACAAATTTATTCACAGACATCATGGAAGTACACTAGCTATAACTATAATATTAAAGAGGAGGTTCCGTTGGTAACAATAAAGTTAAACAGAATCGAAGATATATCAATCATAAATGGTACAGGTCTTGATAGTTTCTTTGAAACAACTAACGTTGACCCATGTTACAAAACAATAAAGCTAGCCGAGTCAACGCCAACTCAAAACGCCAAGAATAATAAATTATACATATTTATTACATGCTTTTCAGTGGTTTATAGAAATATATCAGTGATATAAAACTGGTAATTTCACTGTCTGAAACAGTGAAATTACCACTTTGATAATTTCACTGTTTTGAATTTAAGCCCCTTACGTTGTTTCAGTGAAATCCCAGCGTGCACAGTACTGGGTACCAACTTAATGACGTGACGTCGTAAATGACGTCACGTTGTATTATTATTTAGAGTGCTTTTCATTCAGTATTAGGTTTAATGTCTTTTATAAACGTTTCTTTGCATATAATAAAAAGAAAATTTGTTTAGTTTTGTGTAAGATCGAAATATATTTCATCTTGTGAACACCAAAAGTTCATATTTCACTCGTGGCTGCGCCACTCGTGAAATATACCTTTTGGTGCTCACTCGGTGAAATATATTCCGATCTTACACTGAACTAAAGAAATATCCTCTATTTCTTTGATTTTATTTGTAAAACATACAAGGTACTTGTCAATGTCATTATGATGTTGGTATACTATTATTATTATTATTATTATTATTGTCATCATCATCATCATCATCATCATCATCACCATTATCATCATCATCACCATTATCATTAATAATAATAATAATATTATTATTATTATTATTATTATTATTATTATTATTATTATTATTATTATTATTATTATTATTATTATCAAACTAGGCATGGAACTTTTCAATCGGACATTATCTGAAAAAAACAACCAGAGGACCGGTACTTTTTCAAGATTTTTCTGAATTTTCGAGATTACAGCTGCCTGCCAATTAAGTTCTGTTTTATGTTTTTTCTTTGTATCTTTATAAACATGCATTATTGCTACCTAAATTCAAATATTGTTTGTTTGGTTTTGCTCTATGTTTACAGGTTTTCTAATTACATCACTCTCTGTGCCGGCGCCGACTTTCACTCTCATCTTATTCAGCTTACTCAGTTCTGAAACTTGAATATACGTGTATTTGAAGCATTATGATATCATCCTGTTACAATGACAATGTTAAAGAAAATTGTGACATCCCTCTGTCAAACATAAGATAATATCAGATACCAACAAATCCACGGCATGATCTACTTGGAAAAAAAGCAACCTGTACTGTATGAAGGTAAAGTCCAATATTAGAGTTGTTACGAGGATACAACATTGGCTGGGGCGACATCGAGGGATTTTTCTGCTAAAGAAATTTCGAGGCCGACAGTAG